TTACGTATTATGTTAAACATTTTGAGTTAAAAGGTAGTGTATAATAGCCCAGCCCATATGGTTCAGTGGTTGAACATTGGCCCATGCACCAACAGGTCACCTGTTGGAATCCAGATTAGGGCATATGCCGGGGTTGTGGACTTGATCCCCAGTAGGGGGTGTGTCAGAGGCAGTGGGCAGCTGATGGATGTTGATGTTCTCTCTCATTCATCCATGCTTCTATCTCTCCTGCTCTCTTCCTCTCTCCCCCTAAAATCAATAAAAACATATATTTTTTTTAAATGGTAGAGTATAATAAATGGACCCGGAATTCCGCTTCTGGTCTGACGGAGGGGGCTTTGCTGAGGGTCACATTAAGCTGCGAGTGGTTTCAGGGGCGTCTTTAAGAGTCAGCAACATGGCAGAAGGCATCAAGAGCAAAATCAATAGCTACTCTTTTGACAGCCACTTCAACCAGAATCAGACCAGAAACTGTTAGCCAAACTACCTGGACCTCCTCCACTGTGAGAAGGCAATGACCGCTAGAGGGGGTGAAGTCTCCATGTGCAAATGGTACCAGCATGTGTACAAGTCCCTCCGCCCCATATCCTGGGACCACCACGGGGCAAAAGGCAGTTTCCTGAGAAGATCTGAACTGGTTGCATCCCACTTCATTTCTGTCCTCCATCCTTCTCCCAGGGAGGTGAAAGGGTACCTGGATACATCCCACCCTGGGATCCTGAATCATGGGTTAACTAATACTGAATACTTGTTGGAAAAGTGAAAAATAAATAAATGACCCTGATATTTTATATAGCTCATTTTCTAATTAGATACAGTTTTACAGTTAAGCAGATGTTTGAGTAATGTACCATTGTTTCAATAAAGATATCCCTTGGCAACTACTTTTAAGCGAAAATCTCTTGTTTACATTACTATTTTCCAGTACATCTTAAAAATTACTGTATTTGAATTACATTTGTGCCCTATTACCATGGAAATATTTGTGTCCTCCCCAAATTCAAAAATGGAAACCTAACTCCCCATGTGATGGTATTTGGAGGTGGGGCCTTTAGGAGGTGATCAGGTTATAAGAGTGAAGCCCTCATGAATGGGGTTAGTAACCTTATAAAAGACACTCCGGAGAGCTCTCTCCCTGGTTTACTAGGTGAGGACACGGCAAGAAGGTAGCCACTCATCTATGCACCAGGAAGCAGGTTCTCACCAGACACCAATTCTGCCAGAGCATTGAACTACCCAGCCTCCAGAACCGTGAGAAATAAATGTTATTTAGATCACCTAGTCTATAATATGTTAGTTATGGCAGCCCAAATGGACCGAGACAGAAGGGATTATGAAATATCACTTATCCATCTCCTCTTCTTGGGTGAGACCTACATGGAAATTATCTGAAAACAATCATTGGTGTTTTTCTTTCCCTTTCCTTAAGCTTTCCCCATCTGCTTACCTTCCTCCCATTCATTTCTTCTTCAAAATACCAGGAAGCTAACTAAGGAAGTTTAAGCTTTAGGGGCCCTATTTGTACAAGCTCATTCCAAATCTCTAAGTAAGGTCCCTAGAAATGTGTCTACTTGAGTATGTTTTTTGCAAAGTTTGCAAAACTAAGAGATGTTGACCACAAATGATCAAGACTTTCTTTCCCCTTAGTCAAATGTCCCCTCATATCTGATGACACTGAGTGGCTACAGGCAATTTTGAGACTTAGCCACAATGAAACTAAATTGGGGATACAGTAGTTTAGAATAGCAAGGAATATTTATTGGTTCAAAATCACTTCCACATCTAAGTAAGTTGCTCCCTGTTCTGGTGTAGAAATGGCTTCTAGGAATACTCGCTGATTCATCCCATGTGGTGACATGAAGTGACAGAACCCAAGGTCACATCATTATGTGAAGATGTCTTACAGCAAAGGGTGCTGGAAGTATATGGGTAGTGAAGGGGATGCACAATAGTAAGTAGAGGCTTCAGTTTTTACTGGTGTCTAGTCAGAACAAAAGGTTTATTCTCAGTAATGCAGAACATGCAGTTTTTCCCTTTGAGAATCATACAAAAATAGAATTGGTCAGAATTCCTGTGTTTATAACCTTTGTTTGTGATACTACCTTTCCAGAAGTTGTAATCTGTTGTGATTTCTTTTCTCATTCTACATAACACTTCCACACCTAAAAAATAATAATAATAATCGGCAGCCGTACCATATGTAGCTGTTTCAATGGTATTCCCAATACCATATTTTCCTCTCTATTTTTATTTCCTCTTGTAGAATAAGAACATCTGGGCTACTATGAGAAAGGGTAAGGAGGCATTAAGCCAACAAATCTTTTTTTTAGAGAGAATAAAAATAATTTAATGTATATATTTATTGCCAGTGGAGCCCTTAATGAGATATTTTCTCTGCAAACATGAGGGAGAAATGATGGGCTATAATGTTCCTCTGGCCTTACTTGAGCAAAATAAAGGCACTTATTTTACTTACTTGAAGTACTTCATAATCCCCACTGGCTCAGTCCATTTGGACTGCCATAGCAAAAATACCTTGTGCCTTTATTTTACTTACTTACTTAGAATAAAATAAAGGCACTAACTAGAACCATGCTAGGTGAACAAAATGTATGACTAGATCTCTTATTCTTCTACCACTAAGTTACACTGAAATCACTATATTGACCTTGGAAGGATGGCGTCTGCGGTGCAGGAGAGTGGCTCTGCACAGGGGTCCTGGGGGCTGTCCCCTCAGCTCCCTCCCCGGAGCCACAGACCCCAGTCTCTCCTCACACAACTCCGGTCCCATCTGGCCTCCCTACTCCGGATTCCAGGAGTTGTGGTTCAGACACAGCAAAGTAACTTCCATTGAACTAATCCTCATACTGATAATAATTTTAAAAGCTGAAGAAATATGTAAAAAATAAAAATTTAAAGGCCCTAGAGAGGAACCAAATTAAATAGAAACTGGTGGCTATGACCCAAGAAAGGGTCATGCACAGATGTCACAAATCAGAGTCCACGTGCCCAAAGGAGATATCACCCCTGTGCATGAGGAAGCAGAGAAAGGGCAACAGGGCATTCCATGTACTAGTATGTATATCATGATAAACTCACAGACTGACAGAGGGTGGACTCATATGGACCGATGAACAACTAGTGGTGCCATTGTCAGGTACTTTTCATATGGAAAAAAATACAAAATAGACTATAGAATTGAACCACCTTACATGACAGAATATTAAACACATATATTTCATAGGTCCATATACTGCTTCATTTGCTCAGAGTAAACACAAAGGTTAGCAGTTCACACATATAACAACATTCTGTTGGCTATTCTGTCATTATTGCTAAAAACATGTTTCCACTGTGTACATTTGTTAGACTGTCAGTTACTGTTAAAAATCCATAACGGTGGAGAATCAAAACAACCCAAAAAGCTTGAGAAAAAACAAACAAACAACAACTATTATCTAGAACCGATGAAAATGAGCTATTCTGGACAAAAGGGAGGGGCAGAGAGCTGAAGGTTGGATGGGCTTTTAGGACAGCAGTAGTTGCTGATGAATGGGATTTTTGGACTGGAACACGCGGTGTTCCCCTGGGCAGGATGGCTTCCCCAGATTCTTTGTCTGTTGGAATCAAAGAATGAAACCAAGGATGCAAAATGGTATAGCAAAGGCAGAAATTTATTGAAGAACAAGTACAGACTCCCACGTAGGGAGGGGGAAAGAGTCCCACCGAGTTCCTTTTCCCCCAGTTTATAAAGGCTACAGTTTTTGTGCCTTGATATCACCTCTGATTGGCCACTCTTTCCCTTTGATTTGGTCACTATAGCAACTCCTGAGCTCAAAGGTCAAACCTCACATGGGATGTGTGAGGCCCTTCTTCTTTATTTTTTAAATATAGACCTTTGGCTACTCCCAGTTCCCTTATCTTATGGAAATGTAACTTCTGCCTTCCCTGTGTCTTATGGAAATGTAACTTCTGCTGCTTCCAACTCCCTTGTCTTATGGAAATGTACCCTTTTGCAACTCTGTAGCCCTGTGTTTTTTCCATGGACCCCTTAATTTTAAAAATTCCCTAAACCTGACTATTTCACCCCTAAATATTCCTATTTCACTGAGGGTGTCAAGATGACTCCTGACCCTTCTCTATGTCTGTTCATGGGGCAATGTTCTGCCTCTTCCATCACCAGCTTTCTCCTCAGACACAAGTTACTGCTTCTCATCACTACACATGACAGGTCCCTGTATTTCTTAGATTCTAAAGTACACATTTTCTCATCTTTCACATATCTAAAATAATTATAACATATATTTTATAACATATATTTAAAAACCGGTATCAACAGCCCTAGCTAGTCTGGCTCAGTGTGGGCTCTATCCCCAGTGTGGGGCGTGCAGGAGGCAGCCCATAATGATGCTCTCTCATCATTGATGTTTCTATCTCTCTCCCTTCCTCTCGGAAATCAATAAAAAAATATATATATATATATATACATATATTTTAAAATTCTTTAAAAACAAACAAAAGACAGGTATGAACAGTTGTTTTATAATAGAACTACACATTTAAGGATCTTTTTCATTTTCCCCCAAAATTATACTTCTTAGTATGTTAAACCAAGGAAATGAGATATTTATTAATACTGCTGCTGTATGGGGCAATTCTACCTAATCTAAGTTTTATTCTTTAAAAAAAAAGAAATTGAAAAAAAATTAGGTGCTACAAAGTCTAGT